TAGATTTCGAAACATCTCTGTTTGTGAAAATAATGAAAAAAAGCTATTTTTATTGAAAAATCGAGTATGTCTCTCCAATGAAAAGAATGAGTATTTTTAGCATTTTCTAAGTAGTTTTTAATTTTTTTATCTTAGAAGGGTGTGGGTGTGGGTGTGGGTGTGGATGTGGGTGTGGGTGTGGATGTATCTATCCTATATCCACAATCACACCTACACCCATCCACCCACACCCACACCCACACCCACACCCCAACCCACACCCACACCCACGCCCACGCCCACCCACACCCACCCACACCCTTTAGGGCATAAATTTGAAATGAATCTGAAGCGGTTTAGGGAGATTCTCAGAAGAACTGAACTAATGCTGATTTGAAAACAAAGTCGGCAACATATTATTTTTTGAAAATAAAAAGAAGTTGAAAACTATGACGAAAAGTACACAACATTATTTAAATTTCGGAAATTTTTGATTACATATCGATGCGTTATGAGTAAACTTTTTCCTGCGCATCAGAGTACTAATACGACAAATGGTAGGCAGAAAAATAAACCGTATATATGGAAACGGCTAGTCGTGAGTGGCCGACCGGAGGAAGGCCGACGAACGACTAGACGTTGATTTAGAAGGCTTATCGTAAGTCTAATAAGTGAAAGTTGAAGCACCTTCAGAAATTTTCAAATGATCTGATTGCTGAACCAAAATAATTCCTTATTAGATATTTGACGTAATATTGCCTATCCAGTAAAGGATTCGTGACTGCTAGCAGGGCGTTATTTGCTTGTTGTGTCGTAAGCAAAAAAAATGTAGTTGTGCCCTCCTAAAGGTTTCAAGAAGCTGTACGGAATCCTATAATTTTGAAAAAACTGTTTTTTTTTCAAGTTATTCTGATTTAGGGCGGTCGCCACTTGGTCATGCTACTGAACTCGCTGAATAAACGGAAACAACTAAACGATATCTAATTTCGTGTTCTTAAAGAAAAAACAGTCATATAGCAATACATACCCCACTTAAAAAGGCATAAGTGTTTGTCTCTCCGTTTTATTCAGGAAAGTCAGAGTTCAGGATAAGAAAATATGGCATCCCAAACAACTGTATATGACCATATATCTGTAATAAGTTTGATCAAACTGAATCAATGATAAGCAACTGAAATTCGAGGTCTGCTTCTGATGATGGTATAACAGTTAAATGTCTAGTAAATCATTTAAGAGTGCTCGCTCTAGAGAAATCTAGTGCTGAAAGGCGCTTAATATTTTTCAAAACATCTATTTTTTGATTCTTCAACTATATTAAGGTTCCTTTACCCAGATTATTTCCAAAATGACAGAATTCGAGAATATTCTGTATCCCAACTAGGTTAAACTCTCTAAATTTGATTAGTTTTTTTTCAAAAAAAAGTTATATGGTTGTGATTGATCATTTATTCATCAAGTGAAAAACCAACCGTGTTCGATTAGTTTCATGCAATCACGAAGACTGTAAAATATAGTATAATCAAAAATTGAAATTATATTCAGTAATAATCATACTAAATTGTCTTTCAGAAAACGGTCAGCGAATCCGTAGGATGAGCGCTACCTTGTCACCTCTATGATCGGAAGATAGAGTTTCAATTGAGGATCGATTGGAGCGTCCACAAAACCTGAGCCGATTCCCGCTCATTTATCTCATCAATAGTCGAGTTACTCTTTTCATTTCTTAATGTTTTTTATATATCATTTTGTAGCCCTTGAAATTCTCTATCGAATGGTATATAATAATTGGAGTTTTAATTGACAGTGTTAGGAAAAGTCTTTTACGAAAGAGGCGATGGGTCGATTTTCAAATAGGAAGCCATACGAAAAACAGAGTATTTTTGCAATCACTCAGAAACGGCTCGGCCAATCCTTCTAATCTTCGAACTCGACCAATATATTGTAAATACTGAACTACCCAGAAAATTTCATCATAATCGGACTCTCCTTTCAAAAGTTATCGTGTAAACGGCCAGCCGACCGGACACACTGACCGATTCTAGATTGTACTCACTTTTTAAGTATACAAAAAAGTAATCTAAAATAGCTTCATTATTTTTTTTCTCTTATGCGATGCAGAAATACTAATACCATGAATGCTAGAATGAAAGAAAACTAAACTAACTTGTTCGTTTTGTTACATGACATAGACAAAAACTCTCTAGTAAAGTGTATGAAGAAAAAATGAATTCAACTAATATATTATATACAATTACTGCCATAATGTATTTCAAATTTAGAGTATATTTAAATACAGAACGGAAAGAAATGAAATCAAAGAATTTTAATGTCTACGACGGATACTTGAGAACGACGGAGAAAAAAAATGATTATTTGGTTGCCTAGATTACCACTGATTATATTTGATTGTCGATGATTGTGAATGATTGTTTGATATTTGGGTGTGGGTGTGGGTGAGGGTAGGTGCGGGTTTAAGTGAACAGACCATAAACACTCCCACCCACACACGTGGACCCCCTCCACAGCCACGTCCACACCCCACATCCACACATCGAGATCTACCCCGGATCCACCCACACACCCACATCCCACACCTCACACTCCACACCCACACACCCACACTCACACCCACACTATCCCCCCCCCCCCCACACCCTTTTGAGTCTAGCTCATCTGAGTATTTTTGAAGAACTCAGCAAAAAAGACTAAGCTATATGCGACCAATTAAACAAAGAATACTTTATTTTATTGTTTTATCAAGGTCGAGGCAAACAGATGCTAAAACACGTTCAAAAAATGGCATGTAACACATGAAACCATTAACTCGAAACATATTCGTCTAGTGAAGCAGACTGTACTTCGCTCATCTATTCCGAACATCTTTTGGTTTCATACATTTTGACTCGGATCGATGAGATTTTTAGTAAAAATATTGACGGTACTTATTGACGAAAAAATTGAGAAATAAATTGTTTTCTGATATATGTCTGGACTAAGCTCTAACATTCTGCAGATAACAAAAGATTCATAGAGATAATCCTATAGATGCTTGGTATCATTAAAGTGATTCATTTAATTATTAATGGCGCTACCTCGCCTCCTTTTAAGGCATCGTAGGCTTCTGGACAACTTGTTCAAGGTCTTTTTTCATTATCTTTCTACCTATTTGGAATACCCGTTGCCTATCCATACTATGAATTAGGTTTGTGAGTGATATGTATTCTTTCTTATTTCTCGTTTTTTTAAACATACAGCTTCTATTAAATTCTTTGAAATAACTCGTCTTTATTTCAGCTGTAAAAAAATATCATTTGACTAAAACTTATTAATGTATGAATCGAATACTTTCTGATTGCCTTAACTGTTTTGTCTTTGAATGTATCTAAGAAACTCTATTGATAAGAATGTTCGATTGAAATACTAAAGTCCGATCAATTTCAGTTGTAGTAGAAAGTAAATGTTTAGAGGTATCCTATTTGATTATTCCCATTCAAACATCGATATGCTTAAAAAAGCGAATGAAAATAATTAATACACTTTGTATATATTATATTAGGGTGATAGTGATGCGATTCACATATTGATACTTGTGTTAAATAAGTTTGAACGGAAACCATTTGCAGGTATGTATATATTATGAAATAAAATCGCAAAAAATCTAAATTTCTCGATGATAGAGTTGTGGCTAAAACATCTACTAGAAACATGTTTCTGATAGTTTTGCCAGTACTCAAATTCTAGATAGATGTGTTGAAATGTGAGATTCCTTGAAAAGCAAGTTGAATTGATATTTACTTCCTGAAGCGTTTGTATGAAAACCAGTATTATCATTTTCTACCTTTATTTTGCTTGGATAAGCATAACTGAACTTATCGGTCTTGCCATTATAATCTTGATTTTTCTTTTTCTGGCTATAGGAGATTTAGCTACTCAAGATATAGGCTTTAATGATGAGTCAGTGATCTTTATCAAGCCTTTCCAATAAACAATTATTTATTTCTTTAGGTTGCAGAAGTAGCCGTCTTTTTGGAACGATTCAGAATATTAATATTAATTTCTTATTTTAACATACTAACCATTACTTGGCAAAGTAAGAGAATACTTTGCAATATATAAGTGAATATTTGTAGACTGAATTCGATGGCCACAATGAAAAACTCACAATTACGACATGTAAATGTGAGTTGTCTATACCTCTTTCCACTCACATCCAAATCCACATTTTCTCATTTCTTCGTTTAGTTTTCATCAGTGCTGATAATTAGTTCATGGCTAATCTATAGAATCGTAACATCCGATGGTAAATCCTAATTAATCCCAAGAGATCCGACAAGATTCTATGATCCATCAAGATAGCCTGTTTCATTCTTAATTTGAGATCACTGCAATTAAACTATTATACACTTTTCTGGGGCCTATTATAACACGTCAAAACTTATTAGAAAACTGCAAATTGCACGAACCTACAAGGATATATTAGGATCTACGCTTCCTTTTCGTGTTACAAACGTGTTAACAATAAGAGATCAGATTATTCTTAAAACTGACTTCTACAGAAGAGTAAAAAATGATATAACAAAGTGGCTGTGAAAACTTTTCAGAAGAAACTGTTAACTTAATATGAATTCGATGTGCATTGATTTAAAGTAACAAATTCTATTATGGATCGAATGATGGATTGTCAATAACCATCAATCGAATACGCGACGGTTGACGTGGCGTGTAGTAAACTGTCTGATCAGCTACAATAGGCGATTGAGTATCAGTTGCTATTGGACCACCCGTATTTGGATTTGCGCTGAGCCACGGATAGAAACTGCTTGTAATTGCGAGTCTAATGCGATGCTTTGGAAGAAAAGTATGTCCAATTTCGTTTAAATTAATACTAAGTAAGTAAGTTGTTCCTGGTGTCATCAGAACCTCCCGATCGAATCCATCACGATAGCGTAATCGAAGTTGACTAGAGAACCCGGAGCCGAGCTTGATTGAACTTCCATCTGGCATGACATCCATCAGTTGAATGACCAAATCTGTGTCTAGTGCTGAACTTGAAAATGCCAACTCTATAGTGACGTCGCCAACTACTGTCAGAGAATTGTTTAGTATTTCACTAGTGTAAACGAGAACATCATTTCGATCGAGGAGATCATTGATGTTAACTGGTAGTTCATATGGCTTCTTTTTCATATCAATAACGAGTGGATTGTTTGGATCATAACGATAATGATCTACTGCAGTAGTTACTGGTGGTTCCCATTGTAGATATCCGTCGCCTGTAATACTGTTGGCATGACCTTCACTGATGAGAAAAAGAAATTTTTCATGAGCTTGCTCTGGAGGAAAGACGCTCAGTGTCATCCATTTATTGCTACCTGTCACAAATATTCTAATTGGTTGCCAATTAGGTCGTGGTTTGTCTTTAAGACACCATTCATAGAACTGAAGTGTCATGTTTCTAGCTGGTAGAAGTCCATTTTCGGGAACAGGAATATCGCCTACATTTGGTACTGGTTCATTAGTTAAAAAGTTGTAACCACCATCTGGTGCGGTGCTATGAGAATAGGGTCCAACGATTAAGAAATGATCATCTTTGAGTGAAGAAAACTGACGAATATTTTGATAGTGTTCAATTGTACCTGTCAATGTGCTATCGAACCAACCGGTGAAAGCAAGTGTCGGTATGTTGATTTTTGAAAAGTCGTTCGGAATAAAGCCGATCTTGCGCCAGAAATCATCATAAGTGGGATGATCAAGAAATGTTCGATAGAGAGGCAATTCACGTCCGATCGCATAAACATCTAAAGTGCGAAGAGGTCGATGATTCAGCCACGTCATTGGATTTGAATGAGGTTCAACTGCCCGTGGCTTCATGATATTTAAATTTGATCCTATCCAATTAAGTGACCAACTGAGTGCAAACGCGCCATTATCATAAGGTACTTCATGCATAGGTCTTGCTGGTGTTGCACTCGGTGTTATGCAGGATAAATGCGGTGGACGTTCACGTGCGGTATACCACTGATTCTCGCCAGAATAAGAAGCGCCACGCATGCCAGCACGTCCGTTCGACCATGGTTGAAGTGCGATCCATTCAATCAGATCATAGCCATCTTCACCCTCATTAGAGAAAAAGACAAACTCACCATCGGAATCACCTGTGCCACGAGCATCGGCAATAACAAAAGCATAGCCATTCTTTATCCAATAACTAGCTTCATTACGAAAGTTAGGCCGGTCGATACCTCGACCATATGGTGTAATCTCGACAATTGTTGGGTATCGACCAGATGGTGATGCCAGAAAATAGTCAACAGCGAGCTCAACACAGTCGCGCATCGGAACGCGTACCGTTAAGAAATCTGGTTCAACAGTTTTATGACTTGTTGACTTCGCTAAACAAGAGAAGATTCTAGAATGAAATACACATAAAAAAGGACGTACATATTATATTGGTCTTTAAACTTTGATCATCCTTGAATGCTGCTTGTATTGCAACTCCAAAGGCTACATTGAGCAGTGCTACGTAAAGAAGAATAACAAATGTAGCTTTGCTCATCTAGAAAACAAAAATGAACATTTTCAAAACCTTTCTAGTCACTACTTTTCCAATAATAAGACTCTTATTTAAATATATCTTTGCACCACATTAAGTTAGCTACGAAAGAGAAGCATAACTTGAAATTTTCAGAACTCAACTGACATTAATGAGACCGGGAAATATATATTCAGCTGTGATTTGTCAGTAATCTTAATGTCGGAATATGGTTGAAAATGTCATAGTGATACTTCTTGTAGTTGATGATGTTCACTTTCAGATCCTTAAACTATTGTACTTTTTAGACGCTTAGCAATATTTAAATATTTGACAAGGATTAAATATAAAAAATCTTTTCTACATTTGTGTGTGTATTTTTATACCGAGCATAGAAGAATACATATTTCGTAATCTAAAAGAGCACAAGCAAAACGCACCAATCCGAGGAGTATTTTGTATTCAACAATGTATTAAAAGCCACTTTCTGATAAAGGTAATTTTTATTGACATTAGCTTTATCTTCAAAAAACAAAACATTTAAGCAGTAAAGTAATATTTACAGTATATACATTTCGATAGTTTGACAAAAGATGTTCTATGATTGCGCTCCATTCTCTTATTCATTGGCCTGTACAATGTTCTATCTCAATATAAGCGTGTCGTGCCATGTGAATTTCTTCAATCAGCATCTTTTGTGAAACAGGATCTGAAAGGAGTGTTGAAGTGTTAAGGGGTAGAAATTTGCACCCCCCCCCCTCCACCCCACAGACCGTGACACAGAAAATTGATACCCGTCACAGACCGTGACAGAGATTTTAATTAACTAATTAATTAATAACTGTATAATTAACTAATTAACCGTCACAGACCGTGAGAGAGAAAGCTCTCTACCCATCACAGACCGTGACAGAGAAAGCTCCCTACCCATCACAGACCGTGACAGAGAAACCCCCCTACCCATCACAGAC